ATTATTATTATTATTATTATTATTATTATTATTATTATTATTATTATTATTATATAGATTATTCACTTACCAAATTCTAAAAGGGGGCACGGGCCAGCTTAAAGGACAGCCGGCCTTTGTCGTAGGTCGAACCCTTGGCGAGCCAACCACCTATAGTACTTGTATACAATCCTTACTTCTAAAATGGCAGATGACAATTCCACTAAACGTCTTTCTTTGAAGGCCAAATCTAAGTCCCACCATGTGCGCAGACAGGCTAAGGGAACCTCTAAGGAAGCTTCCAAGGCCTCTCAAAGAGACGCCTTAAGACGCCATAAGGAGTTGGAGAAAGAATTTGACAGGCGATCCAGGGAGTCATAACTAGTACCTCCAGCCCTCCCATCACCCATTCCTTCTACCTCTAGGCACCCCTCTCCTCCAGATTGTTCTTCCCTCTCCAGGCACAGCTCATTCCAGGAGCATCAGGTCCCTGAACCAACGACCAGGTGGACACCCGAAGCTACATTCACTCCCATGGCTGCCGGTCTGCACCAGGAGGAGCCTGCCACAGTCGAGATCCCTGAACAAATGAGGGCTTGGATGGAACGGGCTATCCGCCAGGGGATCACTGAAGGTCTGCAGCAGATGTCCAGGCCCGGCCTCCTTCAGATGGCTCCTGAACATGAGTTGCTATCAGCCAGGTCCTCGCCCAGACCGGACCCACCCCACGGTCAGGTACCTTCACAGAGGGGCAGCCCTCTTCCAGAAGGGGAACTGGAGGAGGAGATAGAGGTCTTGGACCAGTCCAGGGAGGAGGAAGAGTTTGAATGGGGGTCCACGCTCCATGGTGAGCCCCTATCGGAGATAGACCCGATGGAAGGGGAGATGTCCGAGGATGAGGGTCTCACCCCCGATCAATCCACCTTTGTGGGTCTGTTCAAGCCACACATGTTTAAATCAATCCTCCTTAAGGCCAAAAACACTTCTGGTCTATCCGTACAATCCCCCTCTGCCCTCCCTTCCCCGGCGGAAGGTCCAGAGGATGCCATTTTCAGGCAGCCCATGGTGGAAGAGGAGGTTATTCCGGCTCCACCAATCTTTCACGTCCTTGTCTCAAATCAGTTGGTCTCCACGGGGGCCCCTCCTGCCCCATCCAACCAGGACAAGAGGTTCTTCAACCTCGAATCAAGCTTTTGCAACCTGCTTAATACTCTTGAGGTTGATGAGCCCATCGTTGACTTAGCATCCTCCTCCTCCCCTAGCGATCCTCTGGAGGGTCTCAAGCCCGAGGACAAGAGGTCCAAACTAGCCTTACGTCAGGCTCATCTAGCCGACGCTTGGGCCATTAGATCGGCCACGGCCGCCTCCTTCTTCACCAGGTCTTCGATCCGGTGGCTCCACCAACTGAAACAGCATGTCCCCCCCCCTCTAATACAAGGGTGCACCAGGACATCGCAAAGCTCACGGCTGCAGCAGAATTTTTGGCCGACACCACCTACCACATGGTTAAGTTCTCCTCCCGAGCAATAACCTCTCACGTTACAGCCCGCCGTTTGCTCTGGCTCAAACACTGGCAGGCAGATGTAAAAAAATAAAGTTAAGTTGGCAACTGCCCCATCAAGAGGGACAAGCTATTTGGTTCGGCTCTGGAGCCCCTGCTAGCCGAGACCAGAAGCAAGAAAAAATTTCTTCCTTCTCTTTTTCGGAGACCAGACCCAAGAACCCCTCAGCCATTTCAGAGAGGGTCCTCCCGACCTTTCTACCAGTCTCCCTTCCCGCCCAGATACCTGAGACCCCCCTCTTTTCAGCCATTCCAACCTCATGATCGAGCCGATCCGGGTGACCGGAACAGGGGGGGCGGCAGCTACAAGCGTCCCTTTAGGGGTTCAGGGGGGAGGCCCTTCCAGCATTCCAGATAGATCCCATCCCTCCCTTCCCATTGGCGGACGTCTCAGACATTTCGCCGACCAATGGGACTCCTCTACTTCCGATGCCTGGGTCCAGGACACCATTAGATTCAGGCTCGCCCTGGAGTTCAGCCCCCCCCGAATTTTTCATGGCATCCCCCCCTCTAGGGATCCCTCCAAATGCAGTTTGATGGATTCCGCTATCCATCACCTCCTCAACATTCAGGCTATCCAACCCATCCCACCCTCCCAATGAGGGCAGGGCTTTTACCCCCACCTTTTCGTGGTTCCCAAATCCTCAGGTGGATGGAGAGCAATTCTAGACCTAAAACGTCTTAACCGTTACCTGATCCACCACAGGTTTAAAATGCACACATTACAGTCCATTCTATTGGGCACCAGGCAGGGGGACTGGCTTTCTTCCATAGATCTTTCAGAGGCGTATCTTCACATTCCAATCTGGCCCTCCCATTCCAAATTCCTCAGGTTCTATTACAATCATCGCCACTTCCAATACGTGGCCCTCCCCTTTGGGTTGGCTTCTGCCCCGAGAGCCTTCACTAAGGTCCTTGCGGCCCTAGCGGCTCACCTCAGGAACTGTCCGGTGTGTCTCCAGTGCTACCTGGATGACATCCTCATCCTGTCCCACTCCAGATGCCAAACAGAGAGGGACACCAGAGCTACTCTCTCTGCCCTCCAAGACTATGGGTTCTGAGTAAATTGGCAAAAGAGCCAATTGTTACTGTCTACCTGGATATCTCACTTGGGGTCCATTATTGACACAGTTAAGGGGAAGGTCTTCCTTTCCTCGGAAAGGTTCCTTAGCATCCAGGATTCTGTCAAACTCATCCGACGATCAAAAAGTGTATCACTCTTAGAATTGTCTAAATTGCTAGGTAAAATGGTCTCATGCATTTCCATTGTTCCCTGGGCCCGTTTACACACCAGATCCCTGCAGTGGTTCCTGCTCCCGTTCCAAAGATCTGGCAGAAGCAATTCAAAGGCCACGGTTAAGGTGCCTCCAAGGGTCCTCACATCTCTCCTCTGGTGGACCAATCCCGCCATCAACAAGGGTCATTGCTTCAAGGAGCCCCAATGCCTCACCCTCACCACAGATGCCAGCCTGTCCGGATGGGGCGCTCATATCCACTCGCTCACGACACAGGGCAGATGGTCACAGACAGAGCAGGCATGCAGTATAAACTGGTTGGAACTCCACGCCATCCATCTGGCCCTGCGCAACTTCCTCTGTCAGGTATGCGGGTGGCATGTCCTTATACTCGCAGACAACGTCACTGCCAAGGCTCACGTCAACAGGCAAGGGGGTACCCAGTCCATACGATTGATGAGAGGCCGAGCGCCTCTGCCATTGGGCGGAGTACTATCTCCTCTCCCTCAAAGCAGAACACATCTCAGGGGTCTCAAACACTTGAGCAGACTGGCTGAGCAGGGCCACAGTGGACCAGTCCGAGTGGCGCATCCACCCGTCCCTGTTCAAGGAGGCGACCATGATCTTCGGTCTCCCCACAGTGGACCTCTTCACACCAACCCTCAACACACAACTCCCAAGGTTTTTCTCCAGATACCCTTCCCACGGGGCCGAGAATTACAACGCCCTCCGTTGCCCCTGGCCCCCAGGGCTTCTATACGCATTCCCTCCATTAGCCTTACTCCCCAGAGTCATACAGAAACTGATCCAAGAAAGAGCAGAACTACTTCTGGTGGCCCCCTACTGGCCCAGGCGCCCATGGTTTGTGGACCTCCGCAACCTTTCGGTGGCCCCTCCCTGGAAAATCCCCCTGAACAGGATCTCCCTTTCTCAGGGGCCCCTACAACATCCGGATCCCCAATGGCTCCAATTAACCGTTTGGAGGTTGAGCAGGAATGGCTAAGAAACGAGAAGCTTTCCGACCAAGTTATTGATACTATTTTAGCCGCCAGGCAGCCCTCAACTAACCGAATATACAATGCTACATGGAATAGTTTCTGCAAGTGGTGCCATAATTTCCAGGTCAACCGCTTTCACCCTCCATTGCTCAAGTTTTGGACTACCTCCAAGACGGTCTGAGGAAAGGGCTTTCCCCTAACACCTTGAGGCGCCAAGTCGCTGCCCTCTCGACTGTCATTGCTGGTGACAACCTTGGGTCCCTTTCTCACCACCCTCGCATTAGGGCATTCCTCAGGGGATCCACTCACCTGTGCCCCCCTACTATTCACCGATACCCTACCTGGGACCTCAATAAGGTCCTTGTGTCCCTCACTAAACTCCCCTTTGAGCCTCTCAGGGAATCCACCCTCCAATTCTTAACATTCAAAGTCATGTTCCTGGTGGCCATTACTTCGGCTCGCCGAATCTCGAAGATCGCAGCCTTGTCGGTGAGAAAGGACCTTTGCATCTTCCATGCTGACCAGGTGGTCCTCCGGCCTGATCCTACCTTTCTGCCCAAGGTCAACTCAACCTTCCACAGGGCACAGGAACTCATGCTCCTGAACTTCTGTCCCAATCCCTCGCAGGAGAGGGAGAAGCTGTGGCACACCCTGGACGTGAGACATGCCCTTCGCATTTACATTAAGCGCACCCACCCTTTAGGAGGTCCGAATCCCTATTCCTTTCCTTTCAACCCAAGACATTAGGCCATAAGATGTCACCTTCAACCATCGGCCGCTGAATCAGAGCCACTATTTCCAAGGCTTATTTGTCTCAGGCTCTGCCAGTACCCAGCGGAATAACTGCACATTCCACCAGAAGTGCAGCTACCTCGGCAGCCTGGGCCACCCAGGCTCCAATCTCTGATATTTGTCAGGCCGCCACCTGGGCCTCCCCATCTCCCTTCATTAGGCATTATAAGATCGACATATTTGCCTCGGCGGAGGCCTCGTTTGGCAGACGAGTCCTTCAGAGGGTCATCGAGGACCCACAGAGGCCTCCACACCAGACAGAGTCCCTCCCGTAGGACAGCCAAGCTTTGGTATGCACCACTCTCTGGATGATCCGGGCAGCTCTAAGGAGAATGGGCATTGGTCTTACCTGACACGCCATTTCTCTTCGAGCTGCAAGGATCATCCAGCCCCACCCTTATCCTTTCACCATCTGGTGGGGTCTTGTTTTGGCCAATGAACCCTTAAGTCTAGTAAGATGAGAGTACGACCTTCTCTTCCATCTCGACTTTGCATAAACTGGGGAACGCTACAAGGAAGCCACCTGATGGAGGGCAGAGCGTTCCTCAGTAATTAAGCTCAGCCTACAGCAACGCAGACTGGAGCACTTCCCACTCTCTGGATAATCCTTGCAGCTCAAAGAGAAATGGCATGTCAGGTAAGACCAACGCCCAATCTTCCTCATGGCTTGCAGCTGGGAGCTATGTATATAAGTTTGTAACTGCGTAGTCAGAATTGCTGGAGTCAAAGTTTAGTGTTTACTTTGAAAGAGGTTTATCTTTGCTGACGTTCTTCCCATGGACTTTCCTTGGTTATCTTCCTGGAATGTATGATTAATTGTCTTGGCTTGCTTCGGAACTCTCGTCAATGCGGTTTGTTTTGGTTTTCTTTTTGCCTCATTATTTACTTTTGTGACTTTAAACTGTGCCTGATAAAACAGTGAAGTTAAGTTGAAGGCATTATTGGACTTTAATGTATGTTTTGGGTTATTTTGAGAGACTATGGGTCATCACACTGAGCAATCGGGAGAGAAGGGCCTTAGTAAGAGAAGTGACCAAGAACCCAATGGTCACTCTGACTAAGCTCCAGAGATCCTGTGTGGAGATGGGACAGAGTTCCAGAAGGACAACCATCACTGCAACTATCTACCGATCTGGGCTTTATGGAAGAATTGCTAGAAGCCTTTCCTCAGTGCAAAACACATGAAAGTCCACTTAGAGTTTGTTCCTCACAATCTGAGAGTCCTTCAGGTGCTTTTTGCAAACTCCAAATGGGAATAGAAAAAGAAGCATGACAGAAATAGAAGCAAGAGGAGAAAGAACATCCAATGTTTACAGATATCAGCTACTTGTGCCAAAGAAAGCAAGCTGCCAGACATGCAAATTATCTGTAGTATGCCAAAAGAGCATCTTTCCAACAAAAAAAAAATTACAAAATTTGAGAATCAGGCAAATTTCTTTTCCTATTTATATTGCAATCACATGGCATCAGGGCAAGTAATCAAATACATAAAAATGAAAAGTTGGGCAGTGGGGGTTCCTGATTCTATAAACTAATTTAGAGTGTACAGAAAACTTCAGAAAATAATCTCTGACTTTCCTCAAGTGAAATGCAGCAGACTCAGCTACCTTTCAATGCTAAGATTCATACATAATACAGTAAAGAAGTATGTGCAAATAAAGGCCAATGAAGAGTGATTATCAAAAATATGTGATACATTGCTGATAACAGTTGAGTTGAATACTTGTTCAGGAAATTATGTTAATGAGGCGGGGGGAGCTGAAGAATGGTTATCTCAATTAATATAAAAATGTCTGGGGGGGGGAAGGGGGAAGAGTTAACATCGTGGATATATTACTTTGTCTTTAGATAAAATATATTAATAATATAAATAATAATCTACTCATTAATTAATGGTCCTAAAAATCACTAGTGATGAGAAATGTATATTTAGAAGGAAATGAGTGCTCCGTCAAGAGATGAACACTTCAAATCAAGCAGTGGTGGGATTCAAATAATTTAACAACCAGTTCTTCCTAATGACCAGTTGGGTGGGAATGGCTGTGGGGGTACTGTGATTGAGTGGGCATGGCCAACTCTATGTCACTTGCGTGGGTGGTGCCTGTATGGGTCAGGTGGGGCTGGGGAGGAAATCCAGGTGACTCTGGTAGACAGGGCAGGAAGAAAAGAAAGAAAGCTCCAACTTCTCTGTCTCTTTGTGTCTCTGTCTCCCCCATCCCCATGTGTGTGTGAGAGAGAGAGGGGGGGAGAGGGAGAGAGAGAGAGAGAGAGGGAGAGAGAGAGATGTTCTCTCTCACACACATGCACTCACACAGAGAGAGAGAGAGATCCTTCATCCACTCCACATACTCCACCCCAAGGGAGCCACATCCTTTCACTAACCTTCTCTCCATCTCTGTTCTCTGTTGCGCATACAGGGCAAGAAAAGTAGTCTGTGGGACTACAATTAAAAAAAAAGTGCAAACCTTCCAACTTCACATGATTTTTTTTCATGAGAAGTTGGAAGGTCTGAATGATTTTTTTTACCATAGTCCCATAGACTACTTTTCTTGCCCTGCATGTGCAGCAGAGAACAGAGCCAGAAAGCAGGTGTATAGATGTGTATGTAAGTAAAAACAAAGGAATGGCTGACTGGAATGGTAGTCAGATTTAAGATTTCGACTGTGCTAGGTGAGCAGACCCATGTGAAACCGCGTCCAAGAAGCGCTGGGGCTGAGGAAGCCATTGGAAGAACCCTGTGCAGCCCCCACCTGCTTCTGCTTTGCCTTTCCACTTTGCCAGGGCAAGGCCCTGCTAGAAGGGTGCTGTCCTCAGCTGGCCAGTCCCAAATGCCATCCCAAACCCAACAAACAGAAGCCCCGTGCCCAGCGCCACAACCATCCAAGATCAATAAGCAGGCAATCTGTGCTGGTTCTGTGCTGGTGCTTGTTTGGCCTCTGCCTCAGCACAGAATGACTTTGGCCCATGTCTTTCTGGGTGCAGGACTTCTGTTTGTTGGGCTGCTTCCTGAAGCAGGCAGCTCTGCAGCTCTGCAGCCAGCTGCTTTGCTTTTCCCTGTTTTTTCTCATGGGAGGCTTGTGCAATGGTAACAGCAGCAGGTAGAGGCAGAGGCATGGAGGAGGCAGGTGATCCAAGCACCAGTACTGATGGATTCTTGCTGGATGCTTGCTTAAATGGACATGTGCTCTGATGATCCAGGCAGCTGGGATTGCCTCTCTCCCTCCCCCCAGTGTCTCTGCCTTCCATTGCTACCGGAGGTACCGTGTAAGCATCCAGCAAGGCTCCCACAAGCCTCCTCTGAGCCAGGCAGCTAGGATCGCCAACTCACCTCCCAGGCCCATGCAATTTTGCGTAAGGCTTCCCCACTGCACCCTGCTCCAGCTGCTTCCTCTTGGCTAATACCCTGTAATGGAGAAGTTGCTCTGCCACAAAGGGGGAGAGACAGGCGGCAAGGGGCATGTGCGAGCAATGCTCCTGAGCCAAAAAACCCTTCCCTTCCCCTTCCCCTGTGTAAAGATTGGGGTCTTTTCTTTTGTCCTAGGCCAAGGGGATGTTCCAGGCACAGGTTGCCATTGGCATTGTGAGCCCCATGGGCTGGAAAGTAAGGCAGGCCGCCTTGGAGTGGATGGTGAGGTTTGGCTGCCTTTCAGGCCTGGCTCTCACACAGCCCCCCCACCAAGGAGCAAAGCCTTGGATGATCTGATCCATCCTGAAGGCCTCAAGGGGCTCCAAAGTCTCCATGTGCCTCCACCAGCCCGAGTGGCCTGCCCCAACAAAGCCAGCGCCTGGTGGTGGCGCTCCTTTCTTGCAGGTGGGCAGATGTCTCGGGGCTGCATGACTGCACTTCACCACACTGACTTGGTCCCAACATGGCGCTCTCACTGTGGGAGCAGCTGGGCCTGGGCCACCACATGGTCTGGGTGAGCAGTGATGTCAGGCAAGCGAGGAAGGGTCTCACAATCCTTGTACTCAAAGCAACTTACCAAAAATTAAGCAGGCGATGGCAGGTAAGTGGGCAAGGAGCGAGAGCAGCTGAGTCTGAGTGGTGACAGCAGGCAAGCAGACAGGGAGCAGGAGCAGGCAAGAACCAGAGAGCAGTTGGGCTGCGGGCATGACTCAAGGTGAGCGAGGTGAGATAAGGAGTAGCTGGGAGGTGAGGGGTGGTAGGGGCGGGGCCAGCCAGTGGTGCAATCAGCTGGTTCTCTGAACTGCACAAAAAGTTAACAACCAGTTCAGTCCCACCTCTGAAATCAAGTGGCATTACTTTATTCTGAAACAACTGCTTTCCCCCTGACAAAGTCTCTGAATAACAATGTATATCTAAAAGTAGTGTCCAAACAATAGTATTACATTTTTAAATTGTTCTAATCTCCTTATATAGGTGGTCCTTGACTTTCAACAGAAAGAAACCAGAAGACTATGAGTTCCAGTCCTGTGAATAGGATGACCTTGGGCCAGTCACATCCTCTAGCCCTAAGAAGCAAGCAATAGTAAACCACTTCTGAAACCTTGCCAAGAAAACTGCAGGGAAATATCCAGGCAGTTTCCAGCAGTCAAAATGGACTCGAGGCATAGATATGCATACCTTTTCATATACTAAAAGAAAACAAATTATTACTGAACATAATTCTGGATTTAACTATTTTTTAAAAAAATTCATTGTCATCATTATATTTTGGTGTATATCACATAATGATATCATTAGTATATTCACTCATTTTTTTTCTCTGTAAGATAGTCTCTTAGAATATTTGGATCAATGATGAAATTGTAAGGAATATTTATAACACTCTGATAAAATTTGAATCTGACCTTGTTATATTTGTAATTCATATAAACTGTTTAGGTTTGATTACCCTGATTTGATATGTAAATTGAAGAGGTCTGAATTTTTTATCTGCTGAATTGCATGGCTGACTGAACACCTGAACACGTCTTCTGAATTTACTCAGTCCAGTAAGTTTTGAGTTAGAAGCCTTGTGGTTAATATCTGAGAAAAATAGTTGGGCTAATGATCCTGGCGTTAATATTTCCAATTTAGAAAGCAGTATGCTATTTTCCTACACAAACACATAAAGAAATATAGTTTAGAAATAGACAGATCTTATTAAGTAAACTCAATGCAGACTGACGTTATAGATACTGTCTTGCCTTCACAAACAGCAGCACTTATCAGGGTTAAGGTTGTAATAAATCTGTCAAGCTTAACTTGGGGCCATAAATTCAGCTTCACTTTCCTACATGTTTAAACAGACTTACTGCAGTGGTAGATAGTAACCAAAGAAGAAACAAAAGAAACAAGAAATATGTTAGATGACACAAGTGATATTGAGTTGGCCATGACCACCCTGGCCACACCTACCTCAGCAACCCCCACGCTGGTCCCCCTGAGGTCAAACACAACCTTGATGTGGCCCTCAATGAAATTGAGTTTGAAACCATTGGTTTAGAGCATCAGATTCCTGCACGACTGGGCAAAATGGAATTCCACATTCTAATTACATAAAACATAGAATAATAGAATTGGATGGGATCTTGGAAGTTTTCTAGTCAAACCCACTGCTTGAGCAGGAGACCTTATACCATTTCTGATAAATGGTTGTCTAGTCTCTTTTTGACAGCCTCCAGTGATGATATAGCACCTACAACTTCTGGAGGCAAGCTGTTCCACTTATCGTTTTCACTGTTAGATTTCTCCTTAGCTCTAGGTTACTTCTCCCCTTGGTTAGTTTCCATCCATTGTTTCTCATCTTGCCTTTTGGTGCTTTGAAAAATAATTTGACACCCTCATCTTTTGTAGGAACCCCCTCAAATATTGGAACACTGCTATCATGACTCCAGTATAGCCATATTCCAGTATTACCTCGCATGTCCAAATATAGTCACTGTCTAATAAAACCACAGCATTACAATAAGTGAAGCTATAGCTAAATTTATTTGTATATAGCCAGTCAACATATGAATGGAGGAACATTTTTAATGGCCACTAATGATTCCTGCCTAAAGGGACTCAGGACAGCCTGATTTATTCCTTGCCAGGGAGTTGTGGTACAAGAAAGCATTTGCTATGAGATCCTGCAAGCAAGTATCCTGAACTGATTCAGACCAGACATCGTCAAAAATAGGATGCTGGAAAGTTATGAGCTCTGAATTAGCACTGAAAATACAGGGGCTGAGGAGAAAAGATATTCTGAGACCAGGGAGAAGATATAATTGAAAGGAAAGGAAATGGACAGAGTATATTCTTGAACTGGAATAGAGCATGGTAACAAGGTCAGCCAATTAATAGGCATAGCAACTAAGTCAGCCAATAAGGACTGTTTGGAAACTGAAACTAGAAGCAGCCTAGGTGTGGCTCTATATTAAGCTCTGCAGCTCTGAAGCTATGTTAAGCTCAGAGTCTGTCTATTGAAAATGAAACTGCCTGCTGAACTAAAGTGAAACTGATGTCTGTTTCTGAGCTCCTGAGTTGCTATTCTGCTCTGAACCTGTAACATGTCTGCTTCTGTTTGAGTTTGCTCCATGTTGGAGAAATCTACAACTGGTATTGTAAAGTTTACTTTACATGTTTATAAAGAAGTTAAATAAAGCCTCAGTCATCTGTGTTTACTTTTCTGGCACTGAATTTACGCTGCAATACTCTGAACACAAATGCTAAAAGTAGGAAAATTAGGAACACAAGACTCTTAGAGCAGGGGTGTTAAACTCAAGGCCCACTTAGAGCTGGCCCATGGGCCTGCCCCGGAAACTGCAAAGAACCAGCCCATGGTGCCTCTGCCAGCGAAAACGGAGCTCACATGGACCTCCCTGAGCACTGTTTTCACCAGCAGAGGACGGCAGGAGGCCATCACAGCCAAAAATGGAACTCACAAGCCCGTTTTCTCTGGCAGAGTACTCAGGCCCCCAACATGAGTGATGTTGAACTGAACACACCCATCTTGGCCATGCCATCCTGGCCCCCTGAGGTCAAAATACAACCCTGATGCAGCCCTCGATGAAATCGAGTTTGACACCCCTGTCTTAGAGGGTCATATTCCAAGAACAGGACATTCTTTTTCAACAAAGATCTAACGTCTATGAAACATAAGCACCCAATAGCAAAGAAAGCATGCATAGCTGTCATTGGCAAAAATCCAGAACAAGGGCCTTCAGTATATGCTGCAGGGGGTTGCATTTTTGCACATGCACCTGGAACAGAATTCAATGACATTTATTTGAGTAGACACAGAACAGATTGAATTGGAGATTTCACAAGTGCTAAAGCAGTAGAAGAAACAGGATGCACAACTGATCTACACTTTTCTTCCAAATGCAATAAGTCAGGTACATAAGAGGGAAACCAGCCTCACTCTGAACATGATAGTAATCAGACAGAAAGAAAAGCTGATTCCTAATTTCTATTTTTAAATTTGCCCCGACAACCTATTGTCTGGATTCCTGAGCTTTTCTGGCTGCTGGCAGTACAGGAAATGAATTTAATGCAGTCTTCAGTTGAAAAGCAACTTGTTATGTCTTTGGGACTGGTTGGAGTCCCCAACCAGGTCCGCTGTTTGAGTGGGAGCACCAGCCGCTCCCATTGGCTGGCACCGTTTGACAGCTGGCTATAAAAGGCGGCTGTCGAGCAGTGCCAGCCCCGTTGCCGCCAGCTAACCTGCCTAGTTAGGAGGCAGACGCGGCAACCCTTTATTCATTGCAATAAAGCCTTTTACGTTTCACTCTGGCTCAGCCTCATTCCTCCGCCGCTCTACAACACTGGCGACGAGGGCGGGATGCGATCGAAGGCTGCCAGACGTGCAATTCAGAGGAGCTGTGGTCACTGAGAGCGAAGCCACGGGCGCTGAAGCCGCAGCCGCCGATGCTCACGAAGAGCACAAAATTCAAAGAAGCCTCCGTAGCTTTTGAGCTGTAGTCACTAAGAGCGAAGCCACGGGCACTGAAGCCGCAGCCGCCGGCGCTCACAAAGGGCGCGAAATTCAAAAAGCCTCCGTAGCCGGAGAGACAGACACCACCTGATAAGTGCAGCCGCAAGCGCTCTTCTAGGAGCGTGAATTTTGAATCACGACTGAAGGGGACGAACCCTGCCGCTTCAAAAAATGAATGCCAATCTGACATTCCCACCATTCAAGCCAGCCGAGGAAACGTGGGACTCATACAAAAACCGTTTCAGCTACTTCCTCGATGCCATCGGTTTAGCAGATGCTGCTGAACACAGGAAAAAATCCTACTTCCTCAGCTACTGTGGGGCTGCGGTTTTTGACACCGCTACAGCACTAGTCGCCCCTTGCGCTATCAGGAGCATACCTTGGAATGAACTCCAAGAGATCCTCTCCAACCACTACTCTCCTAAACCATCCCAGATAGCCAGGAGATATGCTTTCAGAACTAGAAGGCAGGCTGAGGGAGAGTCAATTAATGAGTACATGGCAGCTCTGAGGACAGCTGCCTTACAGTGTGGTTTCAGAGACTACCTAGAAGACATGTTATTAGACCAGATCGTCTGTGGGGTTAGAGACCTTAGGCTTCAAAGACGTTTGCTAGCAAAAAAGGACTTAAACCTAGCTTTAGCCGTGGAGGAAGCCCAAGCTGCTGAGCTCTCTGCCCAATCAGCAGCTGAAATTCAAGGAACTC